TAGGTGCATGTGAACATCCTATTGTAGGTATGATCCTATTCCACCAATACCTATTAATGTGTATATACTTCCACTGTCATCCTATTGTATTTCTGTTTGTGTTTGACTCATGTAGTTGCACGTGTATATCCCATTGCAGGTATGTTCCTACTCTACCAATAGTTACTAATGTTTCTACACGTCCACTGTAAACTTATTATGTTCATCTTTGTCTTTGTCTTATGCAGGTACAAGTGTACATCCTATTACAGGTATGATCTTATTTCACCAGTACTTATTAATATGTTTATACATCCACTGTCATTCTATTGTATTTGTGTTTATCTTATGTAGGTGCATGTGAACATTCTACTGTAGGTATGATCCTATTGCACCAACACTTATTAAAGTGTATATACTTCCACTGTCATCCTATTGTATTTCTATTTGTGCTTAACTTATGCAAATGCACGTATACAATCTATTACAGGTATGATCCTATTCCACAAATACTTATTAATGTTTCTTTATGTCTACTTTCAACTTATTGTGTTCATCTTTGTGTTTGTCTTATGCAGGTGCAAGTGTACATCCTGTTGTAGGTATTGTCCTATATCACCAATACTTATTAATGTGTCTATACTTCCACTGTCCTCTTATTATGTTTGTCTTATGCAGATGCACATGTACATCCTTTTGCACGTATGATCCTATTCCACCAATATTTACCAATTTGTCTACACTTTCACTGTCATCCTATTGTGTTTGTATTTTTTTTATTTGTCTTATCTATGTGCATGTGTACATCCTATTGCAGGTATGATCCAATTCCACCAATACTTATTAATGTTTCTATATTTCCACTATCGGCATATTGTGTTTGTGTTTGTCTATGAAAATACACGTGTACATCCTAATGCAGATATGATCCTATTCTACCAATACTTATTAATGTGTCTATACTTTCACTGTCATCATATTGTGTTTGTGTTTGCTTTTTTGTTTGTGTTTTCTTGTGTTTGTGTTTTTAATTTTGTTTGTGTTTTTTTTTGCGTTTGTGTTTGACCTTGTGTTTGTGTTTGTATGATGTTGTGTGTGTTTATGTTTGTGATTACTTGTGTGTGTGTTTGTGTTGTTCGCTCAATTTATACCGAGCTAGAAATTTTACAACCTCCTCAACGCACTATGAGTTAAGTATTTTAGGTCACTCAACCACATTTATTTTCTTATACTCAATGTTTGTTTTTAATAAGCACAACTGAATTGCAGGACTGAAAGAATATGCTGTTGTGGCACACAAAATCTGTGATGCGACGAAAATGCAACTAATGTTATTGAGCAATTGAACATAGAGGTGCACGTGTATATCCTATTGTAGGTACGATCCTATTCCACTAATTCTTAATAATGTGTCCATATTTTCACTATAACCCTATTGTGTTTGTGTTTGTGTTTGTGTTTTTTTTTTATTTGTCTTATGCAGGTCCACATCTACATCCTATTGCAGGTATGATCGTATTCCACCAATACTTATTAATGTTTCTATACTTCCACTGTCATCCTATTGTGTTTTTGTTTGCGTTTCTTTTATGTAGGTTCAAGTGTACATCATATTGTTGGTATGATCCTATTTCACCAATACTTATTAATATGTCTATACATCCCCTATCCTCTTATTAGGTTTGTCTTTGTGTTTGTCTTATGCAGGTGCACGTGTACATCCTATTGCAGGTATGATCCTATTCTAGCAATACTTATTAATGTATCTATACTTTCATTGTCATCCTATTGTGTTTGCGTTTGCTTTTTTGTTTGCGTTTTCTTTTGTGTTTTTTTTTGTGTTTGTGTTTTTAATTTTGTTTGTGTTTTTTTTTTTTGCGTTTGTGTTTGACCTTGTGTTTGTGTTTTTTTTTTTTGCGTTTGTGTTTGACCTTGTATTTGTATTTGTATGATTTTGTGTGTGTTTATGTTTGACAATTAAAACATGTGACCATTTTATCCAAAAATACTTTATGGAAATCAAAGTCGGGGTAAGTAAGTATAAGAAATCGGGTAGAGAGTGAATTTTGGCAATGTTTGGTACTTTTTGCAAGAGTTCATGAATAGCGAGTTACTTAGTGAAAAAGAAATGTAGTTGTTTTTTCTCTTCGTATTACAAACCAAAATTGTGAAAAACAGCCATTATACATGCATGGCTAATGGCTAACCATGAATTATCAGTTAGCCTGATGATTACAGAAATCCATAAAAAACAAAGGGTAAGAAGACAGGGAAGCAAACATAGATGCTTGTATTAATAAAGGTGTTACTGTTAAATCAATTCAATTGAGGTTACCTGCAAATGCAGAACTTCTGATAGCGGTTTCTTCTTCAAGTGTGGAATAGTAAGAAGTTGGGATGGTGTTTGTCCAAAATAAGCAATCTAATCTTGTGTGGCATGCTGTTGCACCTTTACTTATCATGCAGAGGAGGAGTAACGAGTTACAAAAACATGGATAAATTATTTGTTGAGGTCTGATGCTTTTAATATGACTTTAGTATTTTTGCAAAAATATACTCCACATTAAAATTAATAGTGCATAAATCTTCCATTTTTTAAGTCATAAAATTTGCGTTATATCACCCATGTTAGAGATATTTCTCTTTTATGTTTTGTAATTCTCGGTTTAGCATATATTACTGATTTTAATAGATAACTAGATTTATTACTAAGTGTACTTTTTCTTTTAGTACCAATATATCTTTCTTTCTTTTAATATGGTATAAGAGAAATATGATCTATGGCTTCAAAAACCATTCTACCACCTTCCCCTCCACCACCTGTAATGACTCGGGCAACACCCTTGCAAACCCACACTACTTCCAGTGATAGTGGTTCTTTCATCTTGGTCCAGCACAAACTCTGGTCACAGTTTCTCATCATAGTTTACAGAAACTCGATGACAATAATTTCTTGCTATGGCCTCAACATTTTATGCATCATTTTTTGTAGCTCGGAAAATTCTTTCCCTTTTTTTTTTGGATCAAGATCTTCTTGATCACGTGAATTCATATTATCTTGTTTGGGAACAACAAGATCACATGTTGTTAGCTTGGTTACAATAGTAATTCTTGCTCATGTTCTTGTGTGTATCTATTCTTATGAAGTTTGGAAGAAGATTCATTCCTATTTTCATCGTCAAACAAGAACGAAAGCGAGACAACTAAGGTCAGAGTTCGTAATTCTTCTGTTGATATAGAAGTTTACCACAAGAAACTCTCCTTTTTTCAGAGTTTTATTCACAAAATCGATTCGATCTTTTCTCTAAAACAACAGCTTAGTAATCTCGATTACTTTCTTGGTATAGAATTTTGTCCTCAATCCAATGGGTCTCTCCTTACGACTCAAAATAGATTAAAGATCTTTCTAAGACTAACATGCTTGAGGCTAAGCCAGTTTCTTCTCCTATGATTTAACTTTCTAAACAAGGTTCTTATTTATTGTTAGATCCTTCATTTTACAGATCTGTAGTGGGTGCTCTTCAATATCTCACAATCACCTGAGTCGAGATATGTTTTTCTGTTAATAAAATCTGTCAGTTTACAGCTCCTCTTGAATCCCATTGGACCACGATAAAATGAATACTTAGATATCTACAGGTACTCTTCATTGTGGTATACAAGTTATTCTAACTATTGCTAATCAATCTATAATGATTAAAGCTTTTTGTGATGCAGACTGGGCTGTTGACCTAGATGAGTCGGTCTAGCTCTAGAGTTGCAATTTTTCTTGGTCCTACTTTAGTTTCATGGAGGTCTCGTAAGAAAAATGTTGTTGCTATCTAGTACAAAGGTAGAATATTGGAGCCTTGCCTTAGTCACCACCAAACTTCTTTGGATTCAAACACTTCATAGTGAATTTGCTATACCTTATTGTGTTCCGATTGTGTATTGGTATAATCTCAATGTAGTTAATCTCTCTCTTAATCCCATCCTATATGCAAAGACAAAACATAAGGAACATGATATTTTCTTTGTTCAAGAGAGAGTGCTTGCTAAACAACTTGTTGTTCAACAAACATATTCTAGGTCATGATCTTATGGCAGATATTCTTACTAAACGACTGTATACTACAAGATTTCTTTTTCTCGTATCCAAGCTCACAATGGTTGATCTACATGATGTATCTCACCCATCTGGAGAGCTTGTCGGAGTGGTATATAGATATTTCTCTTGTTAGGTATATTACTCTTTTATGTTTTCTCGTCAGCTTGTAATTTAGTTACAAAAACAGTTCCTAATTTTCTCGTCTAATGGGTTTGTAACGTAGAATTACATGTCTTACCGATTGTTCTTTTTCTTTTAGTATCAATATATCTTTCTTTCTTTCTTTCTTTCATTAAGAAGTTCACATATAGACAGTAATGGCACAAGGGATTATTTTTCCATCTCATCTTTGTAACAGTAGAATTACATGTATTACTGATTGTTCTTTTTCTTTTAGTATCAATATATCTTTCTTTCTTTCTTTCATTAAGAAGTTCACATATAGACAGTAATGGCACAAGGGATTATTTTTCCATCTCATCTTTTACCCAAAAAGAGAAATGGATATTTTCCGCATCTAATCTTTTCTATTTTCCTCAGTTTCTCGCAACTTGTATTGGTCACAAGGATTGCCTTGTTTATATCATGCTTAAGCAAGTCAAGTTCATGTATAATAGCAATTATGTAACAATCACACATACAAGTGACAAGCAAAACTATAATTATCATGTACTTTAATCCTTCAACCAAAGGTAGTTCTGATATGATAATTGATTTAAGCATATTTTCATATTTTGTTTCAGGGAGTTGGAATTTCATGTTACATAGACAACAAGATGAATTGAAAATATGAAGATGAACAGAGACATACTGGGTCAAATATTTTATCAATATCCACTGTCCCTTCATACTGGGTCAAATATTCTGTAGTGGGTGCTCTTCAATATCTCACAATCACCTGAGTCGAGATATGTTTTTCTGTTAATAAAATCTGTCAGTTTATGGCAGCTCCTCTTGAATCCCATTCATAGGTAATGTAAAAGAAAACATTATTTGCTGCAATAGCCTCTTTGCCCTGTTGTTTATACCTGCATGGTTAAATCCTTTTAATATAACCATATGGAAATTTAAAAAGGAATATTATAGATATCTACATTGAAAATGCTAGAAAAACTAAGACTCATGAATAAACAGAAAGAAGCCTTGAAGTATGATTGGACTCCAAAAGATTGGGGAGAAACTGAAAGTAGGAAGAAAGCCTACCCAAATATGAGATCAATCCACTCATGCAAATTAGCAGATACATACTCGCTCTCCAGAGCCATCCTATGCTTGTGCACAAAATCAACTGGACTCTCAGCCCAAGCAGGAAGTTTTACAGTATCTGGCATGGCAATCGTAATTCACAAGCAGAAATAGCTTTAATATGCACATACATGTAACTACAATGTCTTCTTAAAAAGAAAATGGAGAAAATCTCGATGAGTAGACCGAGCTTTCCTCCCAACTGTGTTGTGCCAAAATCAATTGAATTTTCATTTGTGAGGACCTCCGGGAGGTAAAATAGCTCAGGAACCTAATTTAACATTAAAAGAGGAAAAAGAAAAGCTTAAAATATAAGTTTCAAGAAACCTATTAAAAGCATGTAAAAATATAAGTACTAAAAACATTGAAGTTGCTAAGGGAAACTGGAAGTCTTTAACATGCAATTGCAAAGAAATTTAATGTACAACCATTCAAGAAAATCAATCATTCTGTTGTGGGTACTTGAAGAAGTCGCTTCTGAGTGGGTGAGCTTGGAGCTTTTTCTTTTGCCAGCCATGGTTTATGTTTACGACTATTGAGATAGTCAACAGTGAACGAAAACAGAGAACAGAGAATCTGCGAGTAATTAGAAAGAAAAGAATACATTAACCTCGATGGTTGCTGTATGCTTCTTCTTTACAATGCAAACGAAATCAAACAAGATGAACCATCAAATTAAAATTCAAATCCGAAATCAACAACCATATTAAACCCTAAACCAAATGAACAGAACCCAATATTAAACATAGACGAACCAGAGCCGGGAGAGAACGAACGTTTCTTTTGCGTGCGCCGGCGAGAGAGATGCAGAGCGATATTATGTAAAACTATAATCGCTTAGCACAAACTATGATCGTTGTTCTCCAACTATAATCGATCATTCACAATTATAATCGGTTATCGAAAATTATGATCGATTATTATCCAATTATAGTCGAACACTTTGACATATATGACTTTAGATAGCGGTTATTTGGTCAACCGCTATCTAAACTACATTTATTATATCTCTTTAAAAGTATGATATAAGGGAGCGGTTATAAAAAAACCGCTATTATAAACATACGTTAGACAGCGGTTTACGGCTAACCGCTATCTAATATATATTTTTCAAAGCGGTTCTTATCAACCGCTATCTGTTGTCACTCAAGCGAAAACCACATCGCTTAAGCGAGGACACCTGGAAAAATTGGGATTCTCGGGTTCTGTCTCGCTCAAGCGACGTTATCATCGCTTCAGCGAAAAGTGATTCTTATATGTGGTAAACCGAGTTATATGGCTAACTGTGTTGGACGTTTCGATTGTGGGTCAGTCCTTGCTTAATCGAGGATGACATCGCTTGAGCGATGGAACCTTAACCAATGGGGACCCTCGGGTTCCGTCTCGCTCAAGCGACGTTATGAACGCTTGAGCGAAAAGTGATTCTAATATGTGGTGAACCAAGTTATATTATTTGGCTAACTGCGTTTGACGTTTCGTCATTGGGTCAACACTCGCTCAAGCGACAACTACATCGCTGGAGCGACGAAGCCTTCAAACAATGGGGACTCTCGGGTTTTGTCTCGCTCAAGCGATGGGTTTACTCGCTTGAGCGACAAGTGATTCTTATATGTGGTCAACCAAGTTGGACGTGGTGTCATATTACGTGGCTACCTGCGTTGGACGTTTCGTCTACGACCAACACTCCCTCAACCGAGAAATCCATCGCTTGAGCGAGGTACCCTTACAAAAAATAGGTGGCAAGTGATTCAAATATGTGGTTATCCATGTTACAGTATGTGGCTAACTGTATTGGACATTTCGTCTGTGGCCAAGGCTGAACTTGAATGAGACGTGACATGCAAATTTCAATCTGTTTTTTGTTAAGCGCATTGTAACGCCTCGCATCACTCCCCGCATGCACGCGAGCAAGAACGAGTCTTGCCCTCCTTTTTTTTTCGCACTAAGCCTAGTTATTGGTATATGGAAGCCTTTAGAAAGGCCTAGACTTGACTGGAAGCTTCTAGAAGGCTCCAGAATTATGTAGATATTTGTAGAAGGGACAAGAACATCCTAGAACCTTGTAGAGACTTGTAGAAAGGGCAAGAATCATCTTGAGTTATGTAGAAGCTTCTAGGCCATGTGTAGAAAGAGTAGGATTTGTGTGGAAGGGTCTAGAAAGACCAAGACCCTTGAAGGATCTAGAGAATTCCCTAGAGGAGGTGGTGCCTATAAATAGAGGAGGCCCCCTCATTTGCAAATCATCCAAGCTTTGAGAGCTCACTTGTACTAGAGTTTGAGTAATAGAAGCATTTTCCCTTCAAGTTCTCTTTTCTCACTTTCTTTAGCCAAAGCACTTGCACACACCAAGCACGATCCCGAGTGAGGTGAGACTGACTTAGCTAGTTGCAAAGGGCGCACGAGAGGCTAAGGCCGCACGCAACCAAGTTCGAGAAACAAGGGCGTGACAAGTGGTATCAGAGCAACACTCAGTACCGTGTAAGTATGGCAGGGGAGAAGGAACATAATGCGTCCGGGTCAGGCGTAAGCGAAGAGCAAACCCGAGGGCGGGAACACACCACCGGAACCAAGGACAAGAAACGTCGCGACCAAAGCCAAGTACGCGCAGAGGTCTCGCCGTTAGACCAAGTCGTTGGGGAAATGACTGAGAAACTCGAAAGGGTCGAGTTCACCTTCAAAACGTTGGAGACACACGTCTTGGAGGAAATCGAGTCCATCAAAGGTGTTGTCCAAGAGGGGCTCGATGCACAAAGCTCCACAGAGGACCGCTTGGATCACCTGGAGGACCTTGTGAAGGATCTCCAAGCAAGCATCAAGGGGATGCGTGAGGATCTCACTGTTTGCAAGAAGGCGATTGCTAGTGGGGAGGCTAGCAACTCCACGCCCGCACCAAGGGTGGAGTGTCCGAGGCCGACAGGCTACAATGGCGTAAGAGACGCCAAAGAAGTTGACAACTTCTTATGGAGGATGCAACAATATTTCGAGGGCATAAGTCTCACGGATGAAGCTACCAAGGTAAAGACTGCTTCCCTTTATCTTTCCGATACTGCTATGTTATGGTGGCGCAGGAAGCACGGTGACATCGAGCGAGGCACGTGCCGGATAGACACATGGGAGGACTTTGTCAAAGAACTTAAACGACAATTCTATCCGGAGAATGTTGTCTACGAGGCCCAACGAAAATTACGGGAGCTGAAGCAAAAAGGGACCATACGTGACTATGTCAAAGAATTCACCACCCTTTTGCTCCAGATTCCCAATATGACCGAGGATGACTCGCTCTTCTTCTTCGTGGATGGACTCCAACATTGGGCGAAACAAGAGTTACAATGCCGGGGCGTCAAGTCCGGTGATGATGCGATTGCTGCAGCCGAGTCACTAATTGAGTTCCGCCCATCATCATCTTCCGATGCCACCAAGAAGGACAAGAAGTACTCCGCCAAAGGTGGGGGAGACTGTAGACCCCAAATCTTGCCCGGCCTCCAAATAAAGTCAGAAAGCATCCTATTTGATGACGGCCGAAGCCTAACAAGTCATTAGGAGAGACTATTAGGCCCCCGTACTAAGATAGGAAGGTTTTTCGGCCCGAAAATAAAGTTTCTCGCCCTGAAGGGACGAGACCGCCGTCTGGGAATACCAGACCGCCGTCTCGTTTCAACGCCAGGACGAGACCGCCGTCTCGATTTTCCAGACGGCGGTCTCGTCACACGCAAATTCGAGACGGCGGTCTGGATTTTCCAGATGGCGGTCTCGATTCCTGCCAAGTCGAGACGGCGGTCTGGATTTTCCAGACGGCGGTCTCGACCTCTGCCTCGAACGAGACGGCGGTCTGGACTTTCCAGACGGCGGTCTCGACCCTATCAAAGGAGACAGCGGTCTCGACCTGTCAGGCGCGAAAAACTATAAATAGGGGCGTCATTTCTCCCTTTTCACACACCCAGCAGCAAGAGCTCTCCCTTCTCTCTAGAATTTCTCTCTCTAAGAATCCCTCCGAGGCATTTCCGGAGTTTCTGAGTGTCTCTAGACATAGACTGAGCGTTCTAAATCTTCTTAAGAATCCCTCCGAGGCATTTCCGGAGTTTCTGAGAGTTGTAGAGCGAAGGGTTGCCAAAACGCACCCTCTCTTTTGAATATAAAAGCTTGCTTTGGAGGTGCATATCCTCACTCTCTATTTTTATTATTGCCATTTAAATTACGCAATAGAAACTAGGGCCATGTAGTCATAAACTTAAATACTGCATAATAAAAGGGTAAAAGCGCAATTTTCTAGTTTAATTATTTATTCAAAGTAGCCGGCCTATCATAGGGAACCCGAAAGGGGCGTCGTAAAGGGACTAATACTCCCTTTACACGTAACTAACTCCCTTACCCAACTCTGGTTCTAATGACCAAAGTTGGTTTTCGAAAACCAACGCCTTTTTAAACCCCTTTTCCGATGTTTATGGTAAAAATATCGGTGGCGACTCCATAGAACCCAAAATAAATAAGTCCTTGGGTTAGCCCGGTTATCGGACAACTCAAAGACACTTTTCGAAAACCTCGTCTCTAGGTTAGCCCGGTTATCGGACAACCTAAGGACGTTGTAACTACCAACAAAAAACGCGAAAATCAAAGAAGAGTCGAAAAACCATCGCGTCGCTCCGACCGCGCCCCTTTTTGGGAGGCGGCGACAGATGGCGACTCCACTGGGGAAGCCTAGAGAGTTGATCCCATTTAGTGATGGACCGGCTTAAAAATAATTAAACCAAGAAAATAGCGCTTTTACCCTGCCTTGTATTATAACATGCTTTATTGTTTGGCTTTCAAATAACTGTTGCTTGTTTATATTTACGCAATTGATTGAAATATAAACTGCACACAAAACCCTTGCACACTACAGTTCCCTCTATACCCGGGGGCAAGTGAGAAAACCATAGGGAGTGGGTGGCAGGTACGGTTCGCTGCAGTCAGGGCCTTGTGCCCACCAGTGTGATCGGAAACCACCACTCAAGGTGATAACCTTCCTCTTTTGGCAACAAGACCGACTCTGGCCTTAGTGTTGAGCATGGTCGGACGGCTGGAGAGTGGGGACCCTATAATGGGGGCA